TTTCATCTTGCTTCTTCCTTGTGTTCCTTGTGGCACTTGCCGAGCGTGGCCTTATTATGGTGACAGAGCAGGTAGCAAAAACGACACACTTGGTATTAACTATGCTCAATCGTAGTTCGAAGTTACGTGCCACTCTGCCGAAATTAGCTGCCGAAATTAATACCACGGCGTCTGATTGGTCAAATATTTTAGCAAATCAAAATCGAAAAGGGAGCGCAGAACTGCGCACTCATGTCGGTCCAAGGACCCACCGCTCGACTCGACAAAAGGCCGACACCCAAACGACGAGAGCCCCAAGGCCCGACCATCTCAGGGTCTCTTTTGCCTCGTTGACAGGTGGAAACGGCTGCGAACTGACTCTGCGTGACGAAACGCCGCTTGCTGTCGTCATCCATATTCCACGCCGTCCGCAGCGTCCCGAGCGCCACAGCTGAGCGCCGCTATGAAACGACCAGAATGATTGCTGTAGCTCGCGGCAGTCGCCAGGTGCGCAACATTCTCCTGCGCCGCGCTGGCCTTATGTGGTGGCTGGCCGTGTAGGCCCGCTGTTCGAGTACTCTTAGCGTTCGGTCTCTATCCCAGTGCAAGCTGCTGAACCCAAGTGACCCTCCAAATGATGCCTGCCCTTGGCCATGACGAATAGCTCCAACGGCGCAGGAACCAATGCTCTCTTTGGCTTTGGCCCACGAACAACTCCACGAATCGTTAAGAATGGTTGTGCTTGTTAATGCTCTTACAAATGAGAGAAGCTGCGGACTTTACGAAGTGCCTCCTCCAACGCAATCCTGGAACTTTCAAGACATGGCATGGGCGCTTGCGGCTCGTTGCGAGCAGGCTCTGTTGGCACCCTTGGTTCATCGGGACAAACGATAGCTTGTTTTTTCGGTGCAGTGTACGCGTCGCCAGATTTGTCGACAAGGGCCTCGACGATCGTTTGGACAAACTCAAACACGAAATCTTGGTCTGGTACTCGGTACCGAGTAAACTCAAGCAACGTGGTGTCCATCTGGGATTTTTTGCTGGGGGCGAGTCGGCGTCGCTTGCTCCGGGTTGTCTTAGACGCGGCAAGAGAAGCAGTCGCTGCCGTCGTGGTCGTTGCGGAAGGAGCGGGGGCAGGAGCAGCGGCGGTCGTAGCAGCGGCGGCAGGAGCAGGAGCAGCGGCGGGAGCTCCGGCAGGAGAAGCGGGAGCACCGGCAGCGGCCGTAGGAAAAGCGGCAGCGGCAGCAGCAGCGACGGCAGCAGCAGCAGCATCTTCGCAAGGCATCACCATATACAGCTTGCCGGTACCTGATTTCTCGAGGAGGTGGTACACCGCGGGCATTGACTTCAACTTGATGTCTGCACCTTCAAGAAACTGTGCGTAGATCGCTTCGCAGACCCATCGCTCTTTCTTGCTGTTCCATCGAACTGAGGCGGTCAGCTGCTTTGGATCGCGGGCAGCTTCAAACACCTTGATGATAGCCAGCGCAGCGTTGTTTTGAAGTGGCGTCAAGTCGGTGCGTGTCGTCCGAGCCCGTGGATTACCTTGCACTTTCGCCATGATCGCCGCTGTCGTCTCGCCGAGAACGTCGCCAAGGTAGCCGCTGCGGATGAACTCGTGCACTGTCGTCGCGTGCTTCGTGTTCCGAGCAATCACACCGTTCTGGTGCTCGACCATATACTCGTCGAGAAGCCAGCGTGTGTGATTCTGCATGGCGTTGAAGAGCAGAACGTTGCTCTTCCGGATGTGCTCAATCTGACTGATCCACTCCAAAGTCGAGATCTTGTAGTGGGTTCGATTGAGGAAGACAAAGGCCAAAGCGACGTGGGGCATGATCGCTTGCAGCAAGTCGAGATGGCACTCGCTACGCACGAACTTCTCGTAGAAGACGACGGCAAGAGGCAGCAAGTGCTCAAAAAAGTGAACGAGATAGTCGAGAGCAGCGGTTTTGCATCGTCGCCGGTGCCGACCAAGATCGTCGCGAAGGAGAGCGTAGCCACCAAGCAGCACCTCGGCGCAAACGATCATCTCGGCGTGGCTGAGCGTCTGCCGAAGCTTCTGGTTCGGCGCGATCTGGGGCCACAAGTACCTGATGAGCGGGTCAAACGTCTGGCACACGGCTTCCAAGAGCGTCAAGCTGATGTGCAAGAGGCCATTGATGGGAACCACGTTCTCGAGGCGTGCAATCTCGGTTTCGGTCGGAAACTCGTCCTCGGGCATCCACGTCGCGAGCACTTCTCGGCGCTCGATCTCGGGCAATCGGCAAATCATGATGAGCTTCTTGAACGTGTACTGAGCCCAGTAGTCGCCGGGGAGCATCATGATGTTGTCATTCAAGTAGGCGTCAAACGCCTCGACAGCGAGGCAGCTGCGAAACTGGAGAAGTGCGTGGCGGATGGACTTGAAATCGCTCTCGTTGATCCGCAGCAGTCGTAGGCCGCTGAGGTAATCCGAGTGCCAACGCTCGTTCGCGTCCGTGTACTGGTAGAGTTCAAAGCCGTAACGGTCGTTGCGTGGGCCCTTGCTTGGGTAGCGCGCCGTGTACCACGGGAGGAAATGACCGATCTTGGCCACGCTGTCGTCGAAGAGACCCGCCACCGTGAGACACTCCACGGAGCAAAACGTGGGTGGATTCGGTGGCTTAGAGAGATCCCGAGGCACCGGCGACGACAGCGGTACCGCGTTGATGACGCAAACGACGAGCTTGATGGCGCAGTACGTGCTACCGTTCGGACGTATGCGTTCGAAATGGAGGAAGCGAGTCAAATCGTCCACGCCGAAGACCACGAACCCCTCCATCTTGATGTTGCCGTCGCGGCTCTTGAGAAGCAGCTTGCACGTTCCATGGACTGTTTGTTTCGTCGTCCCTATACGCGTTCTTATGCAGTTCAATCGACAAGAATGATCATACCGAGGCCGAGCTTGCTCAGGCTATTGAGCTGAAACTCGCTACTGCCTTTCAGATAGTTGAAGAGCGTGACGATCTTGTGCACAAAGTTCGCTTTTTGGTTGTGGATCATCGCTGCTTGTGCAACCAAGACGATGACTTCTATGTTGGCTTCTTCGTCACCCTCCTCGCCGAGGCGGTCGCCGTCATGCCCGCCTCGTTGCGAACTGCCTTGCCGGGTGCTTCGGTCCGCGCCTTTTGTCTTCCTTGGTCGCGACGGTCGAGTCATGCCGTTAAAATGCTCCCAGAGCTCGTCGGGAATGAGCTCGCGGACACGTCCCAGACACTCAAAGTCGACTTCGCCGGTGGCATCCAAGTTGCGGAAAAACGCCACGCCGTAGTGCTGGAGCCTTGTGGCAAGCTCGTGAAGGAGTTTGTACATCTTGTTGTGTTTTTTTGCGCGTTTCGACCGCGGCTCTATCGCCGGCAGCACCGGGGCGCGAGCTCGTCGAGGTCTAGTGCAACAATGAGTCATGATGCACATTTAATTTGGTGTGTACGGTGACATTGGCGGAGTGCTGTTATCGCCAGCGTCTGGCCCTTGTGCGAGTTCAAGGCGAAGTGTTGCTCGACGAGCCTCGATGTTGAAGCTAGAAAGTATGAATCGTTAGTATGACAACGTATATAAGAACGCATATGATGATTTACACTGTGGACACTGGTACCTCATCGTTGTCGTCACGTTGAGCTGGCGGCGGCGCTGTGACCACTTCGTTGTTGTCGACCTCCTCTGAAAGTTCGAGGCGACGATTCACGGGCTGGATGCCAGCGAAGAAGGGCTCGTCAAACCTACGGCAGAACATTCAGAACGCCTTGGAAAAGAGAGCCTTTATGAAGTACGATGTACTTACCCACACGAGTCGAATAGTCGCTCCGTAATCTGCGGGACAGGCGTCGTTGGCGCAGTCGTCGTTGGCGCGGTCGTCGTTGGCGCAGTTGTTGGTGGCGCAGTCGTTGGTGGCGCGGTCGTTGTTGGCGCAGTCGTCGGTGGCGCAGTT